ACACACTTTATATACACACACAACACACACTTTTATATACACACACACACACACACACTTTATATACACACACTTTACACACACACACACCACTTTATATACACAACACACACACAACACACACACTTTATATACACACACATTTAAACACACACACACTTTATAACACATACACACACACACACACTTTATATACACACACACACACATCACACACACAACACACTTTATACACACACACTTTATATACACACAACACACACACACACTTTATATACACACACACCACATACAACACACACACACACACACACATACCACACACACACGTGAAAGTATACACATACATATATTTATACATATGTATATACATACATTTAAATACATTTACATATATATAAGTATATATAAATGCACATGTATTTAATACAAACTCCCCATCCCCCCCGCTTATACCTGAACTTGTATATATATATATATATTATCATAGACCTATTTATGCAAATTTCCATGTACAAATTACATGTATGCTTAGTCATTAAAAACAAAAACAAAAAAAGGGACCAAGAGAACATTCAATAAAATTCACATAACCATATGCATAAGACAGCATATCAATAAAAACAATTATCAGGTATGATTACAATAAGGATTCCATCTTCCCAAGAAATATATTTTTGGGTATATATATATACACACAATTATAATATAATATATATATATATATATATATATATATATATATATATATATATATATATATATATATATATATACACACAATCATCCGGAATGCATGGAGAGAGTAGTTACACAATGGTCATAAAACACGTAGGCAAAATAAAATCACGTTGGTAAATTGGATAAACCAAGTTATTTATCAATATCATCAGGTCAATGTATTAAATCAAAATGCCTGCCACTGAGCTTCATAATCCATGCAAAAGGTGACAAATCTTCAGTCAAGATGAGAGCTTGCTGGTCCTCTTAGGTCCTCTTAGTTTACCAGAGTGGATATTTGCAGGCCTATGTACCAGTACAGAGTCCATAGCATCGCTTAATGAGGGTCCTAACCGGGTCCTATCCTAAGTGAACACCCAGCTGGATATCTGTTGCTTCAAAATAACCAAACTACCTGGCGTATGGCATCCCTTGACATATTTTACCAAAATTAATATCCTGTCTTCAGTTAGCCGATTTTTACCTTTCCCTCTGACCAATTCTGCCATAAAATCTTCCCATACTCTGGACTTTTCTTTGTTGTTGATTCTTGTAGCTCCCTTTATATCTAAAAAACGAAATTTTGAACTCCCAAAGTACATTTTAGGGCGATAATTTTCCTACCTAAGAGCATTTTCTAACTACTCTGATGCAAGAGGAAACAACTTCCTCCTCCTAGGACAAATTATGAACATCTACGGACATAAATAAGCAGGACCTTGCCAAACACGGTACATTAACCAGTTTGCCATTTTGCCGACCGAATCCTGCGAGACAAAGAACGTACGAGCATGCATGAGGTCCCGTCGCTCCCTCCCGCCACATGAACCCTCATGGCCGCGGATCGAGGGGGAAAAGCGTGAAAAAAGGGCCCAGCGTTCGGGAAGAAGCCACGCGGCCTCCCCTGCCCGAGAAAAGGGGCTGGCGTGGCCCCTGCAGCATCACCCTCGGCATCGCCCCTTCCTTATCTCCCTGGACGGCCCCTTCTCCCTTCTCCCTCCCTCTCCCTTCTCCCTTCGCTCCATCCATCTGCCGCTTCCTCCCTCCTTCGCTCCCCCTGCCCCTCCCTTAGCCCCCCCCCATCTGCCTCCCTTCTTCGCCCTCTCTCCCTTTTCTCCTTTTCTCCTTCCTCCCTCCCTCCCTGGCGCCCCTCCCGAAAGGAGGCCAAGCCCGCCCAAGGTGTGCCGCCCATCCGCCGCAGGAGCCGCAGCCGCAGCAGCCCGATCCGGAGCCGGCGAAGGAGGCATGCGTGGTGCGCCCCGACGGCGTCTAGGATGTTCGCCTCCCGTGCCGCCGCCGCCGCCGCCGCAATGTCCCTCGCCCTCCTTTTCCCTCCTTCCCTCCATTTCTCTCCTCGCCGCCGCCTGCCCAGCCCAGCCGGCCCTCCAGCGCCCTCCAGCCCGGGCCGGAGGGCGGCGGCGGCGGCCGGGGAGACGCAGCGAGGCGAGCGGGGCGGCGATGACGCCATGTGGCAGGGCGGCGAGCGAGGAGGCCGTTGTTCCCGCGCTCGGCCGCCCGCCCAGCCAGCCACCTTTTGTCACCGGACCAAAGACCCAGAATTCACGCCTTTCCTCCGCATTCCGCGCCTTCTAACGTATCCCAACAGGTGCCCTGCTGCAAACAGATGCTGATACTCACCCGTTCATCATTGCTGGTTGGTATTAACTGGTAGAAAACTGGCACAAAACACGGCGAAACGGCGCGCGAGCTGTGAAAACAACAAGTGGCAAACACAATATGGCGGGCGGTGCGGCTGCGCAGGAGACCTCTGGCGGCGAGCGCGGGAAACGCCGCCGCCATGTTGCGGACGCCGACGACCGCCATTTTCAAACGCAGGGCGAGGCCGGACGCGGGCGGGGGGAGGGGGTGGGGTGCTGTTGCCGCGGTTACTGGTACTTCTCTTGTTATCATCGTGGCTGTTTTCATTACTTCTATCATCATTATCATTCTTAGTATTATTTTTTATCATTATCTTGATCGCCATTCCTAGCACCATTGTCATAATTATCCTGTTAATGTTACCATAACCATACTTAACTCATTATTACTCTTGTAATAATCACATTTGCCTCTTGTTGTTATCATTGCCATAGTTGCCTCATCACCGGTATTGTAATTATCACATTTGTCTTAAAATAGCATAATCATTACGATCTTAATTACCACACTGGCAGCTACATTGTTATCCTCATTATTATTGTTCTAATAATTATCCGATTATTGTTGTTCTTGTTCTAGGGGCTGTTGCTGTTCTTGATGTTATCTTTATTGCTATTACCATTATCATCGTCATATGAGAACACTCATACTCACTCTCACGCACACACACACGCGCACACACACACACACACACACACACACACACACACACACACACACACACAACACGCACACGCAACACGCACACACACACACACACACTCACACAAACACACACACACAAACTCTCTCTCTCTCTCTCTCTCTCTCTCTCTCTCTCTCTCTCTCTCTCTCTCTCTCTCTCTCTCTCTCTCTCTCTCTCTCTCTCTCTCTCTGTCTGTCTCATGCACACACATGTATATATAGATGAATAACTATGATTTATGCATGAATGTATGTACATACATGTGTATGTGTGCGTGCGTGTGCGTGTTCGTGTGCGTATGCGTCATCGTGCGTTCGTGTGTGTGTGTGTGTGTGTGTGTGTGTGTGTGTGTGTGTGTGTGTGTGTGTGTGTGTGTGTGTGTGCACATACATAATACATCATCCATGAATAAAACAACTTACCATAACCAAAGAGAGGGAGTGAGGAAGGAAGAGGGAACAAAGGGAGTGAAGTGGGGAGGAGAGGGTGAGGAAAAGGAAAAAGGGAAAGGGACGAGTTGGAGAAGCAAGAAGGGAAGAGGAATACAGAGAGAAAGAGAGAGATAAATAGATAGAAAGAGAGAGAGGGAGAGAGAGAAGAGAGAGAGAGAGAGAGAGGAGAGAGAGAGAGAGAGAGAGAGAGAGAGAGAGAGAGAGAGAGAGAGAGAGAGAGAGAGAGAGAGAGAGAGAGAGAGAGAGAGAGAGAGAGAGAGAGAGAGAGAGAGAGAGAGAGAGGAGGAGGAGAGAGAGAGAGAGAGAGAGAGAGAGAGAGAGAGAGAGAGAGAGAGAGAGAGAGAGGAGAGAGAGAGAGAGAGAGAGAGAGAGAGAGAGAGAGAGAGAGAGAGAGAGGAGAAGAGAGAGAGAGAGAGGGAGAGAGAGAAGAGAGAGAGAGAGAGAGAGGGAGAGAAGGGGAGAGAAGAGAGAGAAGGTGTGTGTGTGTGTGTGTGTGTGTGTGTGTGTGTGTGTGTGTGTGTGTGTGTGTGTGTGTGTGTGTGTGTGGGTGTGTGTGTAGAGAGAGAGAGAGAGAGAGAGAGAGAGAGAGAGAGAGAGAGAGAGAGAGAGAGAGAGAGAGAGAGAGAGAGAGAGAGAGAGACGCTGAACCATCATGTTTGCAGGCCAGCGATGACTAACCTAAGGCATGACGTAGGCATCCTCTTTTACATGCTGTGCAAAACGTGTTATAATAACAATGATGGCAACATCGATTCCTTTAATTAGGAAAAAAAAGCAACGACAAGATCATATCTTGATTATCTTTATCATTATTATTAACTTGGCTGTTAGCCCTGTTAGCCCTAGTGGAAGTAGTAGTAGTAGTAGTAGTAGTGGTGTTAGTAGTAGTAGTAGTAGTAGTAGTAGTAGTAGTAGTAGTAGTAGTAGTAGTAGTAGTAGTAGTAGTAGTAGTAGTAGTAGTAGTAGTAGTAATAGTAGTAGTTGTTGTTATCCTAGCAGTAGCAGTTATAGTTGGTATAGTAGTAGCAAAGTAGAAGTAGTCGTAGTACTACTAGTAGTATTAGCAATAGAAGTAGCAGCAGTCCAGTAGTAGTAAAAATAATAGCAACATGGTAATAGTAGCGTGTGGGGAGGTGGAGTGAAATATCTTCGGCTATCCTTTGTCTACTTGCATATATATGACATGCATACTTACATACATAATTGATTTAACCCTCTCCCGAGTATTCCAAACCCAAATAACAAATCAGAAATCCAGAAACGATATAGGCCGATTTCAGAAAGAGCCCAAAATTGACTTTCTCATTAATCTACGCAAAGAAAGACGAAACAAGCTCAAACATCACAATCAACGTAGAGCAACGTCAACGGAAACAACAACGGCTCCTAATGAACAGTCCCCCCAAAAGATCAATATTTACCCAAAACAGCTGTTATCAACCACCGTTTCGGCAACAACAGGCAACAGCTGTCGACCCTTCGACCCCCCAACGCTTTTCGGTCAAAATCGTTATGTCCGCTCGTTATAATATCTTCATTCCCTTCTAAGCTCCAAGGATGAAATAAATACGGCAATATGTACAGCTTAATTTAGCTCGAAATAAGACAAGTATTAAGTATAGACCAAGAGATCGGCGCCAGAGGACCAGAGGACCATCTACAACGAATAGCTTCCTTATTTATCGATCTGCAGCCAAGCGTCAGATACCGGTGACCACATATTTCGGGTGAAAATGGAACAGCGTTTCGTCAGTCTCGATGGGTGGAATCTAACGAATTCCATTCATCACGGCATTTTTTAAGATTTTAAGTCTCGTGAAATTAATAGTTTACACGGAAACGCACGAATATTGTGGATATTCATGTGTGAGGATGGCTCGAAAATTACATTCGAGTTGGGTAACTGTCCTGGATCTACTTTGCCTCCGGGCTTCAGAGGCCTTCTCTCTCTCTCTCCCTCCCCTCTCCCTCTCCCTCGCTCTCTCTCTCTTCTCTCTTCTCTCTCTCTCTCTCTCTCTCTCTCTCTCTCTCTCTCTCTCTCTCTCTCTCTCTCTCCTCTCTCTCTCTCTCTCTCTCTCTCTCTCTTCTCTCTCTCTCTCTCTCTCTCCTCTCCTCTCCCTCTCTCTCTCTCTCTCTCTCTCTCTTCTTCTCTCTCTCTCCCTCTCTCTCTCTCCCTCTCTCTCTCTCTCTCTCTCTCTCTCTCTCTCTCTCTCTCTCTCTCTCTCTCTCTCTCTCTCTCTCTTCTCTCTCTCTCTTCTCTCTCTCTCATTCTCATTCTCTCTCTCTCTCTCTCATTTTCTTTTCATCTCTCTCTCTCTCTTCTCTCTCTCTCTCTCTCTCTCTCTCTCTCTCTCTCTCTCTCTTCTCTCTCTCTGTCTTTTCTCTCTCTCTCTTTCTGTATGATATATATGAGTGTGTGTTGTTTTTTTTTCGTAATTATGAGATTACGTATGTGTATTATTAGCATGCTATTAATATAAATCGATATTTTAATTTATTATATTATTGTAAATAATTATTATATGATTGTAGTTTTATATATGTTATTAATAGTAATTATGTTTATTATATATTTAATGCTTATAACTCAATTATATATGATATATTTATATAATCTATTAATATAATATTTAATATTTATTTTTATTATATTATTTTATTATAACTTATATATATATTACATTTATTATGAATTGTATATAGTGTATGTCTCTGTGTATATATATTTTATATGTTTAATATTTATATAGTTAAAGTATTTATATATTATTTATATTATATTTAGTATATAGTTAGTATATATTTTTTATAATATATTTATGTTATATATATATATATATTTTTATATATATATTGTTTATATATCTTCTGTGTTATATTATTTTATTATTGGATATTTATTGTGTGTATATATTACATTTTATGTGTATGTATTATTGTATATATATGTCTGTGTTTATATATATATATTTATCTATATATTTTTAGTAGTATATTTATATATATATTATATATATATATTTATATATATTGATTTTATATATATTTATATTTATATTTATAAATTATCTATATTATAATATTTTAGTTATTTTTTTATTTATATATATTTATGTATGTATTTATTACTATATATATTTATATATATATTATTTTGTTATTTTATATTTAGTATATAAATATTTATATATATATTTATTTTAATATTTATATTTATATTTTATGTTAGTATTTATATTCATAATTTTATATATATCTTTGTGCGTCGTGCGGTATATATAGTATATTCGTATAGATTCTCAGTATTTTCGTGTGTCTTATTTTTATATTTCTATACTCTGAGTTATATGATATATACTGTGCGTGTGAGTTTGCTGTGATGTCCTCTGTGTGTGTGTGTGTGTTTGTGTGGTGGTGTCTGTGTGTGGTGTTGCTGTATTATGATTCACGTTTATATATACACTTGTGTATATACTATTATATATGTATGTTGTGTTTAGTGTATGATATACTAGTGATAATATTTATATTATATCTTTCTTAGTGTACGTATATATTTGTATTTATTTTGTTTAGTATAGTTTATTGGTATATTTACGTATAGTATATTTATTATATATATTATATATTACGTTGTTCTGATAATACTGATATATGTATATATATATTATTATATTACTCTACTTAATATTTAATATACCATATTTATCTTATTCATTACTGGGTACTTTATTTCTATATTTATAGTATAGTTCGATATATGTTAGTATGTTTTGTGTTAGTGTTGTTAGTGTATGTTTATTTATGCGTCCATATATTATTTATCGTGGGTTATTATCATAGCACCGACTACAGCACCACCGATCACACACACACACACACACACACACACACCGTATTATTTATTATATATATATTGTGTGCTGATGTTAGTTAGTGTAGTGCTGTGTGTGTATAAGTTATTTATTTATGTCATATGTTCTC